TGCTGCTGCTCTTGGTGCCTCTGACCTGCCTGTACGTCGAGGTGCTGCAGCAGGACTAGCAGCAGCAGTGAAGGGTTTAGGTGTGGTGTCTTTGCGGCGTGAGCTGCTGCTGCAGCAGCTGCAGCAAGCCCTAGAGAACAAAGACAGCATAGGAAGACAAGGGGCGTTGATGTGTGTAGAAGCACTTAGCTGCTGTCTGGGGAGAGTGTTTGAGCCGTACGCGCTGCAGCTGCTGGGTTTGCTGCTGTCTTGTCTGGCCGACAGCAGCACACCAGTAAGAGCAGCAGCAGCAGCAGCAGCAAGACAGCTGATGCAGCATATAAGCAGCCATGGGGTCAGGCTTGTTCTCCCTATACTAGTAGAGAAGCTTAAAGACACACACTGGTGTGTGAGGCTCAGCAGCATCGAGTTTGTTGCTGCTTTTGCTTGCTGCTCCCCCAGACAGCTAGCTGCTGCTGTGCATACTGTAATCCCTATACTAACAGACGCAGCTAGCGATGCATCGATGCCGCAGCAGCAGCAAGCTGCTGTTGCTGCTCTTCTCTCTATTGCTGCTGCTGCACATACACCTGAACTTAAACATACCATGAAACATTACATTGTCCCCGCGCTGGCTGACCCAACAGCAGAAAAAATAAAAGCGGGGCTGGATGCTTTGCTCTCTATAGACTGCAGCAGCAGCAGCAGCAGCAGCAGCAGCAGCAGCAGCAGCAGCAGCAGCAGCAGCAGCAGCAGGGGGAATGTCATCGATGAAACTTCTCTCTCTCTTTGTATTCCTCTTCTTGTGAGAAGTATAAATGAACGCAGCAGCGAAATAAAGAGAAAAGCAGCAGACATAATAGGGTCTTTTGGTTTGTTATGTCTGCAGCAGCAGCAGCAGCAGCAGCAGCAGCAGCAGAAGCAGCAGCAGCAGCAGCTGTTATTACCTTATCTACCTCAGCTTCTCCCCCCACTACAACAAGCCCTTGGGGATCCGATCCCAGCTGTTCGTGCTGCAGCAGCACGTGCATGCGGTGCTGTTGCTGCTGCAGTAGATGAAGCAGAACTAGCAGGGCTGCTGCAGTGGTTGCTGCAGACGCTCAGCAGCAGCAGCAGCAGCGTGGAGAGAAGCGGAGCAGCAAATGCATTAGCTGAGTTGCTGCTAGCATGGGGACCATCTAGACTGCAGCAGCTGCTGCCTCAGCTGCTGCAGCAAGCAGGGGATACAGCAGCAGCAGCAGGATGCCGTGAAGGTTTTTTAGGTTTATTTATATATTTGCCGAGAGCATATAAAAAAAACTTTCATATGTTTGTTCCTTCTGTCTTGCCTATTATATTAAGGGGACTAGCAGCAGAAGAGGAGACAGTAAGAGATGTTGCGCTTCGTGCTGCTGAGGTGTCTGTACACCTGTTTGCTGCTACACATACAGCGCTGCTGCTGCAGCCTATAGAAGAAGGTTTATATGCATGCGATTGGAGGGTCAGGTGCAGCAGCACGCAGCTGCTGGGGTTGCTGCTGCAGCGGCTGCTGCAGGGATACGAAGACGAAGACATAACAACCACAACTACCACCAGCAGCAGCAGCAGCAGCAGCAGCAGCAGCAGCAGCAGCAGCAGCAGGGGTATTGCTGCTGAGGACCTGCTGCACACGGAGATACTATCTATAGAACGAAGAAACTTTATTCTTTCTTCTTTATATATTATACGCAGCGACGAAAACCCAGCAGTAAGACAAGCAGCAGCAGCAGCA